ATGCCAGGAAATTACTTCTCTACATTTTTTGTCTACTACAAAGTATATGCTAGCAATTTAGCCCAAAATTAGCATTTCTATGTCTCCAAAGACTGTTTTTTTAAATCCAGGCCAATTTATTTTCTGCTACCATTCTATGTATTGTATATGCAGCATCTTTCACATAGTATTAAAAACAAACAAAAAAAAAAAGCACCCACCACTCAACAAACTTTTAATAAAAATTCATAAAATTAAGTCTTTTAAAACTGCAATATCCCCAGATGTTACTACAGATAACCACCACATAATACCCCACAAGCGGAAAAGGACAGAAAGTAGACTTAATACTAGACTTCTGTATTTCCCAAAAGACTTATTGTGACAAAGGATTAAATTGTTTTCTCTCTGTGAAAAAAGTACACAAACACTACTGAAAATGGAACTATGTTGTTAGCCCCTCATACCCATTCTATGCAAGCCATTGCAGAGCAGTGTACCCCCTCTTTCACAGCTGTACACAATCTCCAAGGTAGCTGGTAAGCTGATAGACTCAAAATATTATTTCTAAAGTTCTTTTTGAACCACTATCACACTGCAGAGCAGTAGTTGGAGTTCCAGTTCCACAGTTTGCTTTCGTCCCTAGTCCCAGCAGATCATTAAAACAAGGGAGGCACTTTATATTACTTCATCTTTTAATAAGTTAGAAGCTATGATTCTATACAAAAAGTCACCCTTGTGGCCCCTTCACAAGCCACATACACTGTCCTAATTACTTCAAGTAACTAAATTCAGTTGTGTAATTCTGAGCCAATTATTTTTTTTCCCCAAGCAGGCAGTCAGGATTTTAATGGAAAATTTGCAGATGTGAATATCCAACTGTGTGCATTCTCTTATGTATCTGTTCATGCTTCATAAGCCTTCTACCACAATTTAATTTTCACTGGATCATAAATATCTGAAGAAAATTGAACTCAGAGGATTTTCACAGAGTAAACACTTTAAACCTCAGAGCTGGAGTCTACTCCCTGCTGTTATGCAAGCAGCTTCCAGCTGTGAAATACATTCTGGGGCTACTAAACACAGGACTTGTCACCTGGTCATTGATTTCTCCATCTTCCCAGACAGGTCACAGATACTTGTCTCAGTCAAGGATTGCATAGTCTTATAATCTACCAATGAACACAGCCAATTCTTTTTCCTAGTGGGCCAGATACAAATCAAAATGTAAGACAAACACTCCATAGTGAATCAGTACTCACCAACCAACCACCTCTCTTGAGAAAGGTTAAGCAGCAGTTTTGCCATCTGATCTTCCCAGAGGAGTGAGGGACAGCTTTAATTCTGCTTTGCATCCCTTTAGAGCAAACTGCTGACATATTCAGGTAAACATGAACCCTGTCTTTTGCTCCTGCCTCACCTTTTTCCCAGCCAGGGCTGTCTCCCTCAGATAACTCTAGCAAAGGAAATTTTCACCTTTATGGCCAAATCCCAAACATCTGTGACAGAATTTACAACTAGCAGAATAAGCTGTTAATGATCCTTTTATAACCTTGCAATTAATTCAAGCCTGAATCCAATTCTGCAGTCTTTATTTCTGAAGCCACATAACTCCTTCCTAAGAAGAAAGATCTTTCTTTAAAAATATCAGAAAAAGATGTGAGACTGAGTCATCAGTTTCATTCCAAAGGTACTTTTGAAAAGT